TTATTTATTTATTTATTTGTTTGTTTGTTTAAGCCCACGTCGATAATGAAGTTTATCTTGGAAGAGCCCTTGAAAGACTCGGTGATGCTGCCCTTAAAGAACAAGAGCCGGATATAGGAGCAGCATTCCTTAAATTTGCAGTAGTCACCAAGGAATTGAGTGCCCTTATGAAGACTCTGGTATATATTCATCATTTATTTGATAATTTAAAATTCAATCAAATTCAAATGCAAAAAAATTCCTCTCTATTCCTCTTATATTTTATTAAATATCATTATTTTTAATAACAAAACAAAATTCATTTCTATTCTTTACCATATCACAGAAGAAACCTGCTTTACCGATCGTACTTTTTATCCTATTCGTTTGGCGGGAAATTTGAAAATGTATTTCCTTTCCTTAACTTATTTCTGTTTAAAAAAAAGTTTTTAATAAATAAATAAATAAAAAAAGAAAAGATATATATATATATATATATATATATATATATAATATCTAATTAAAAATGTGAATATTTCAGATGCAAAACATCAATAACATCGTAATGTTCCCGTTGGATTCTGTACTGAAAGGAGATTTAAGAGGTGTAAAGGGTGATTTGAAAAGACCATTCGAAAAGGCGTGGAAGGATTACGAGGCAAAGTATGCTAAAATCGAGAAAGAAAAAAAGCAACATGCCAAGGAGGCTGGCCTTATTCGTACTGAGGTTACACCAGCCGAGATTGCTGATGAAATGGAAAAGGAAAGGCGATTATTTCAATTGCAAATGTGCGAGGTGAGAGAAAGAGAGAGAGAGAGAGAGAGAGAGAGAGAGAGAGAGAGAGAGAAAAAAGTATAAAAGAAGANAGAGAGAGAGAGAGAGAGAGAGAGAGAGAGAGAGAGAGAGAAAAGTATTGAAAAGAAGAATTGATTAAACCTGTTAGAACAAAATACAAGAGTAATAATATAATGTCAAATCATATATGGATGAATACATTTGAAAAAAGTTTCGATATTGTTATAACAATTGTTGTTTATCTTTTTAGTATCTTATAAAGGTGAATGAAATTAAAACGAAGAAAGGTATCGAATTGTTGCAGCATCTAGTCGAATATTATCATGCTCAAACAAAGTAAGTTATTAATTATATATTTTAAAGCATTAACTCTTTCATTAATTTAATAATATATAATGTGTACTGAATTTATTAGTTTTTTTTTTTTTTTTAATCTCTTCGCTTTTTAGCTATTTTCAAGATGGCTTAAAGACTATAGAACATTTTGGTTCTTACGTGGCCGATCTGAGCGTTAAGCTGCAAAAAATTCGACAGACTCAAGACGAAGAAAGAAGACGTTTGACAGAATTAAGAAGTTTGCTTAGGAGTTCGGGTTGTGATAAAGAGGTAAGGAGGTATCATTAATATTATGTATTCTTTTATGATAATGATTAATAACATTGAAGGGAATTGTTTTATTTTCTAGCTAAACGTAAATGCAAGTGTTGGATATTCCTTGCATCAGCTTCAAGGTGATAAGCAACACGGAGTAACGCGTTCTGGACATTTGTTGAAAAAAAGCGAAGGAAAGATGAGGAGGGTTTGGCAAAAAAGAAGATGTGCTGTACAAGCCGAGGGTTATTTGGATATTTGTCATGCTGACGAGAATAAACCACCTACGAGAGTGAATTTACTTACGTGCCAAATAAAGCTCGTACCGGATGATAAAAGAGGCTTCGATCTTATAAGTTGTAAGTTGAAATTAACTATATAGTTAAATATTAAATAAACGTATCTCTCTTAACATTTTGTTGAATAATATTTCAGATAATCGTACGTATCACTTTCAAGCAGAAGACGAAGCAGATCAGCGCGCATGGATGTCAGTATTGGTAAATTGTAAGGAAAGAGCTTTGTTAAGAGCTTTCGATGCTAGTGGGAAAGCTGAAGCTGGACAAGGGAATCCTAATTTAGTTGAATTACAGCAAGCAGTGATTAGATGTGTTATGCGATTACCTGGAAACGAACAATGTTGTGATTGTTCCTCTCAAAATGGTACAAAAACTAAACAATATTTTATTTGATTAATCATTTTAAAATTATTCAAATAAATGTTTTATATTAAACACAGATTTAATTATAATATAGTTATATATATATATAAATGATTAATAGATGCGACCTGGTTATCTACAAATTTTGGAATAATCGTATGTATAGAATGTAGTGGGATTCATCGAGATTTAGGTGTGCATATATCAAGGATACAGTCTTTAACTTTAGATAATGTAGGAACTGCCCAATTATTATTAGCACGGCATATGACTAATCAAGCATTTAACGAAGTTATGGAAGCTACATTACATCATAATCTTAAACCAACGCCTACATCTTCAATGTAAGAATCGACAGTTTTATTGCTCTTCCTACTCGTTTAGAATTTTTATAATATATATATCATTAATGATATTTTAAATTAACAGGGAAGAACGATACGAATTTATAAGAGCCAAATACGTTGATAAAAGATACGTGATGAATACCTGCGCGGATGAACGAGATCTCTTATCGGATTTAGAACATGCAGTTAACAATCGTGACTTACAACAACTTTTACAAGTTTATGCTGAGAACGTTGACCTAGCGGCACCTTTGCCTACCTCGGCAAGCATTTCAAATGACATTTATTTTTTTTTAAATATTATTTTTCAAAACATATATCACAATTTTATTACAATAAATTGTTGTATTTATATTATTAACAGGATATCCGTGAGACAGCTTTACATTTGGCAATCTTACGCGAGATGGGCAGTAGTTTACAAATAGTAGATTTTCTAATACAAAATATGCCAACTGGTGGTATTGATAGGATAACGGTTGATGGCGAGACGGCGTTACATCTTTCAGCGAGACATGACAGATCGGAAGCTATGAAATTACTTTTAAGAGCTGGCGCCGATCCAAGTTACAGAAATAAACAAGATAAAACTCCTTTGGATATTGCGCAAGAAATGGGACATCATACTTGTAAAGAATTAGTAAGTATTTTTCTTTTATTTATCATTTGTAAATTATATTATTATTATATTATTATTATTATTATTATTATTATTAGTTGGCATTAGAAACTCAAAAGTTCAATGCCGCAAATACCAAATCTCGTCATTGTTCCCGTCCCTGAGCGCGATCCTTCCATTCGCGGTCTTCATATTCTATTTCTTTCAGGTCTTTGTAAATTATATATATATATATATATATATATAAAGATAAGTTTCCCCACGAATATAGAAATTATTATTATTATTATTATTATTATTATTATTATTGTTATTATTATTAATTGGCATTAGGAACTCAAAAGTTCATTGCTGCAAATACCAAATCTCGCCATTATTCTCATCTCTGAGCGCGATCCTTCCATTCTCGGTTTTCGTATTCTATTTCTTTCAGGTCTCTTCTAATATTATCCTCCGAATATAGAAATAAATTTTGTTTTTCCTTTTTTTTTTTTAGCTTAGTCATGCTTTACAAAGACAAAAGACATTATTTGATAATGTTAACATCGATTGGAACCTTTCTCATGACGAAGGATCAACAGATTTCTCTGATGATGAAACAATCATCGAAGATAGGGTAAATAAATGAATTATTATTATTTAATAATATATCTCTTATATGACTTCATATATTATATTAAGTTAAACGATGAATGTGTGGTGTGATGTGGTGTGTCATACTAAAGATTGAATAAAAGATAAAACGTTGATTTTTTTTTCTCTATATTTAGAACGGCTGTTTAACGCCTGAGAAGAAATCACGTAGCAGGCCACCTTCTTATGCTGGTGGTGGAGGTACAGGTTCTGGTGATTCACCGGTGACATTACGTAGTCGTAGCAGTACTTGTGACAGTCTACAAAGTGGTTCATCACCGAGTTCTTCTACAAACAGACAACAAATGCCACCACCACCACCACCACAAACGAGAAAACCTGTTGCTGGTAGATTATGGTTTTGTTTTCCTTTTATTGTTTTTTTTTTTTCTTTTACGTAACCCGATAATCATCAAGTGAGATTAAAATCATCTAATTATATAATTATAATAGATTTGTTATAAATCACACGCGTGATTTAATGAATAATCATGATTATTATTTATTTGAAACAGTACCCACGCCGATGACACCAGATATTTCAATAAATATCCATGGATCATTGAAGAAACGTGTCGCACCGCCTCCCCCACCGTCAGGAAGCTCAAGTGGCATTCCATCTCCTCATTATGGTACACTACCTTCGTCAGCGTCATTAGCAACATCCACACATAGCCGGACGACGAGTGAGCCAATCTTAGCTGGACACACCTTACACACACTATCGCATACTCTAAACACACTAAACAATCAACACCATAAAAGATCACCCAGTGGAGACTCTTCTACAGGGCATGGTATGTTTAGGTGTTAAAACTCGCTTTACGAATTCAATGTAAAGCACTCTAAAGGTGATGAAATCTCACAGAAAAAAAAAAGAAAAGAAAAGAAACTTTATCTTCTTTTTCGAATTATATTTCCTTCCTTCCTTCCTTCCTTTTCCTTCCTATCGTCCATTTTGTTTTTTTTTATTTATCTCATTTGATTAATATATTTAATTGTTGTTTCTTCTTCTTTTTTTTTTATAATACAGGAATGGACAAAACCAATAGTTCAACATTACAAAGACCACGTAATCCACCACCACCTGCACCGTCCAGCGTTAGCACTTCCAGATTGAGTAATGGTCGTAGTAGCGAGTCTCTAAGTTCAATGTGTTCGGATCATGGCCTTGGCAATCCAGTTCCTCCACCACGAAAGGTGAGCTTTACTTATTTCAAAAGTAAAGGAGTCTCTATGGTAAATGATCAAAATTGTTCTGTCATAATTACACGGTAAAGATAAAAAGAAAACAAGATGGAGGAAATATTTGTGTATACGACAAAAAAAAATACAATAATAATAATAATAATAATAATAATAATTATCATTTGTGTCTTTGGGGAATAAGCGAGAGTTAGGAGAAACGACACACGTAAATGAAATGTTTTTTTCTTTTTTAAATTTGTTTCTTTCTTTTTTTCTTTTCTTCGATATTGTTTTTTCTTTTTATATATATTATACTTTTATATATATAATTTATTTGTTTGTTTTTTTAATTCATTCGTCTCATCTCATACATATATACACATATACATACATTAACACATTCGCGACTGGCATAGTTTTTACTTATTTAATACTAAGAACTGGCAAAAATATAAATTTAATATATAAAATTTCATATTTATATATTTATATAAAATATTTATATATTAAATATTATATATTAAATATAATTAAATTATTATATATTTAAATTAATAAAATATAATAATATTAATTATATTATTATATAATATATTAAAATAATATATTAAATATTAAATTATATATTATATATTATATTATATAAATTATAATTTTTATATTATATTTATATTATATATCATATATAAATATATAAATATACTTTATATATATATATATATATGAAAATTTATTTAAATAAAACTTTTCAAATTTAAAATGACGTGAATTCACGTCAGCAGTCGCAAATGTGTTAAATTACTTACAACTTATTAATCATTATAATAAGCTGTGTAATCCAAATGATCGTATTTTAACAAATTAGTTATAAATATTAACAATTGACTAATAAGGATGTTCATCATTGTTCCTCCTTTTTTTTTTTCATTTTTCATTTTTTTAAATAACACGATTTATTATTCATTAATTTATTACCTATCATCATCGAACCTGAACAATTTGAGGCTTAATATATATTATTGCACACCACATTATATAAATATTATCATGTCATTTGACATGTTGCAAATTTATTATTTTTCATTATTGTAATATTAAACAAAACAAAAACAAAAACAAAAATACTATATTGTTGTTGTTGTCGTATCGAAGTTTCTATGCTTTGATATATTTATATTATATCTTAATTTTGATTAATTTGTTTTTTTTCATTTTGAAATTTTATTTTATTCTTTGAACGTATTATTCAATCATATAATAATAATAATAATAATGCTCGCACGTTATTACCACACCACCTGCCCGCATAAATTTCTAATATGCTGGCTTTTTTTATATCAAAACACACAACAAAAGTTGAGATAATAAAAATATTCAAGTAAATTTTTTTAGTCATTTGCAAATCTTCTTCTTAGCTTTTTCTTCTTCTTCTTCTTCTTCTCTTTATCATCATTATCATTATTAACATATTTCTTTTCAAATTACTAAATACACACATTGATTATTCATCATTGAGAATCCGCTTTTGTCTGACATCTTTCTTTTTTTTTTTTTTTTTTTTTTATATATATATATCTAATAACAAAAAACCAACAGCGACAATTTTTTATCTTTTCTTTTAATGGTCACATACCATCAAACACTTAATTATATTCTTCTTAACACGTTGAGTGCCACGTCAGTCATAAATGACTGACACTGTATTTCACATTCGGGCCATGTCAGACACATATGACTGACACTGAACTTCTCATTCGGGCCATGTCAGACACATATGCCTGACATTGAACATTTCAATCAGGCCATGTCAGGCACCTGTGTCTGACGTTCATCCTTTAATTTTACCACCCGTGGCCTGACGAAGATTTCCATAAGAATTAACGTGGCGCACAACGTGTTAACACATCATCAATTTCATGAACATAATTTATAGAGTCACATATGTTTTTTTTTTTTTTGTATAAAAAGATAATTTGATCTCGTTGATGTATAAAAATACAAAAAAAAATAAAAAATAAGAAAAAGAACAAAATATACGTAAATAGAAAATCATGATTGAAAAGTGGGATACAACATATTAGGCAGTTGCATGCATTTCGAAGTCAATGCTTTTATGGTTTGTCATTAACCATTGTTGGCACAGCGAAGGGACCGATCCAGGCTAGAGAGCTACGCCGAGGAGCCTTCATCTTTGCTCTCAAATCTAAATCTGGTAAACAATTGTCGTACGACGTTACAGCGTGCTACACTTGAAACCATTTTTTTTTATAATATAATATATAATAATATATATATATATATATATAATATATTATATTAACCCTTAACGAACGAATGCCGCCATATTCGCGACAACTTAACTGTATATCTAACTACGCTCGTTCGTTAAGGGTTAATTATAAATTATTATACTATTATTATAATATTATACTATTATACTATTATACTATTATTATAAATTATTATAATATTATACTACTATAAATAATAGTATATTAATATAAATTTATATATATATATTATATTACTTCTAGAAAGTATATATATATATATATATAAAATATAATAATATGTAATTATATTATTAATATAATATATTATAATAATAATTATATATAATTATTATTATAATATAATAAAATAAATATAAATATTATAATAATATAATATATTATAATATATTAA